GGGGGGGGGCATCTGGGTCACCTCAGCCAAGCCCCTGGCCCTTGCCAGGCCTCAGTTTCCACATCTGTAAAAGGCCATGGCAGTCAGCACCACCCTGGGCTGAGTTCCAAGAGCTCAGGTTCTAGAAACCTCAGGTTCAGTAGGGGGACCCCCTTGCCTGGAGGGCCAGAGCCTCCATTCACAGGCAAGGGGCAGCTACTTTTCTGGAGAGAAGGCACCTTCCCGATTCCTGCCGATCTCGGAAGCCACAGGATCAGTCAATGCGCCCTCCCTTCTGCATCCCCCAGGCATCCTGCCCTGGCATTTCTATCAGTCTCTGGTTTCCAGAGGGACCTACTATGCATTTCCAGTGCAGTCCAGTGCTCTAGGATACCCCCTAACTGCAGCCTGTGCTGGGTTGCCCTGGGTCATCTTGGGAGGAGATCCTTGCCTGGAGCCCCCTCCAGCCCGAGCGGTGGCCTCTTCCTTTCTAAATCACCCACTGGTTCTCTGGACTCTGCATGTTTCCGGACGGCATGGTTCTCTGGGCATCCACCACTGCCCAGGTAATTTCTGTCTGATATCTGTGGATCATCAACTGCATTCTCTCTGCCTCGTGGGCTGCTTGTGGTGGCTTCTTATTTCTGGACCGGGGCCCTCTGTGCCACCTGGAGCTGGGAAGGCTAGTGGCTTTCTCCCATGCACCGGCCCTGAATGACTGGTGGCACCTGCCGAGGCCACAGAGAGGGATCCACTTGCAGGGTCAGTGGGAAAGGTCGCGGTCACTGCCACGGGCTGGGAAGGCGGGGGTGGGGCACAGTCTCTGCCAGCTTCAGGATTCCCTGCTGCCCTCCAGGTGCCCCTGCTGGGTGTACACTCCCGCCTGCACCTGCTGCTCTCGGAGACGGACACGGGGCACCTGCAATCTTCTCGGGATCATGCGGCTAGTTCTCTGGCTCTCTGTTTCTAGATCTTGTGCTGTGTATTCTGGATCTGTTTTCCAAACCCTCCCAGCTCATCTTCACTAGTCCATCTCTCTGAGCGCTGTGGCCTGTCCCGGCCCCACCCCTCCCTCTGCCCACCCAGCCTTGCCCTCACCAGGGGTCCCGGCTCAAACTGCAGGGCAACGTGCTGCAAGAAGGCCATGAGGTGGGCAGGCCGCCGCTTCACCTGCTCCAGACTCTGGAACTGGCTGTTTTGCTCCTCTGCATTCTGAGGGTGGGGATGGGGGTGAGACGGTGGGGAGAAGGGGAGCCTTGGGCTTGACCCGTCCCCCACCCACACCACCACGGGCAGTGGTGTCTACGCTGTAAGGGTGGTGGCCAGCGCTGGTGTCGGGGACAGGGGATGAGATCTAATGTTATGCATGTGGGTGACAAGGACAGGCATTAGGAGACAGAGTAGGGGTCTGTGCCGCAATTAAGGAAGATATGACAAAAACCAGGGTGAGAGTAAAAAGGGTGAAAGTCTGTGCTCTGATGGGGCATCAGGGATGGGGTAGTAGGGGACGGCAAAGGTGGTACCCAGAAGATTAGAGAAAGAGGGGCGAGGGGCGAGAGGAGGCGGGGGCAGCATCCGACGATGGACCTAAGGAGGGAGGGGACCCTGAAGATGGGACTTGAGGGCTGGGGCCTAGGGAGACTGGGACAGAAGCTTTTCCACCCCTCACCGTCTCCAGCTCATTCTCAAAATCTTCATCTTCAGCCCCGATGATGCTGACTGGCACCAGGCCAGGCCGCAGTGGTCCCGGGGCCTGTGGAAGAGGGATGGCTTCAGCTCACAGAGCTCCTCACTTCAGCCCCCCAGTCCTCTCACCCCAGGCTCTCTCCACTCACCAGCCCGCGGGCAATGTCGTCTGCCTCCATGGGCTCCACAGGGCTGAGGAAGAGGAGGGGCCACGGTTAGGGGGCGCAGGAGGCAGCGGCACAGGCACAGGGCAGTTACTCACAGATTCCTGGCCCAGGTGTGAAGGTGAGTAAACAGCACCCCCCCCCCCCAATCCCGGCGTCCGCAGCTCAATGGGGCCTCTGTGTGGCGACAAAGAGCCCTTCAGAGGCCAGCCAGGGCGGGGAGCCCAAGGACAGGGAGCCTTGGAATGGGGGGGGAGAGATGGGGGCCCAGGAGCCTGGGTCCATGAGAGAGCTGTGGACATGAGAGCCTGTAATTTGGGGTCCCTAATGGAGGAGGGGCCGGGGGGCCTGGACTCCTGGGTCTGAGGGAGGAGGGGGCTGCAGGCTGGGTCCTAGGGAGGCAGGGCCTGGAGCCAAGCAGAGCTGGGAAGGTTGAAAGGGAGGTAGAAGGCAGATAACTGGGGTGTGGGGGGCTCTCCTCCATCTGACAGGCTTGGGGCAGGATGTTGCCTCTGAACCCACCAGCCCCACTTCCTGTGACAGGAAATCTAATGGCAGATCCCCCAACCCCCAACTCGCTCTACATTAGAAAACAAAACTGAACCTCCTTCCCCAAACCCAGCAGTTTCTTTCCCTCAGGGACCCGGTATCTTCCCCAGCTTCCAACCCCAAAAAGCAAGGGACAGTCCTCAGCCAGTCCATCCCCAAGGGGTGTCGGTCTCCCTCACCCCGCATCAGTCTGTCTGGTCGGCCCTCCTGCCCCAGCCAGCTCTCCCTGGCTGTCTGTCCTGCGAATGTGCCTCTCTTTGCCTCTCTTCTCCCTGTCTCCCTTTCCTCCCTCCCTTCCGGCCCGTCTCGCTTCCCCACCATCTCTGCCTCCCTTCCGAGTCAGCCACCTCCCCCTAACACTGCTTCTGCTGCTCCCTGCCTGTCCCCGGTGTCTCTGCCTGTCTTCCCACGTCTGGCTCTGCAGCCACCTCCCCAAGTCCTCTCCGAGTCACTGTGTCAGATGCTGTCTCTCGCGTCTCTCTCTCCCATCTCTTGCTGTCTCTCCCATCTTGTCTCCCTTAGAGTCTCCACTTCCCCCTGTGTCTTCCCACCGCCATCTTCTGTGTCCTTAATTAGGCTGACTAATGCCACTCGAGCCCGTGTCAGGAGGGAAGGAGCTGTGGAAACAGGGTGGGGTGGACCAGCAGGGCTGTGGGGGGGGCCTCTCCCAAAGCTATTTATAACCCCGGTCGCCTCAGACCCAGCCTTCTCCCTCCCCCACAGGCCTCCTCCCTGGCACTCAATAAACGGTGGCTATGATTTTGATTAGGCTCATCAGACAGCGACGCTTTCTGGAGTCTTCAAGTGCTGTCCTGTGGGTTCCCCAGGGCACGCATCGTTTTTATTCTTTTCCATAGAGTGTATCTGTCCAACTTCAAGTTTGGGTTAACTTAAGATTTGAGCACCGTTTAAACTTCACTTAAATAAATTTGTAAACCAAGGCAAAAAGAAAAAAAAAGTGCTTATTTATGACAAAAGCTAAACTTACCTAGCACTTACAGTGTGCTAGGCATCACTCTCAGTGCTTCTCACATACGAACTCAACGCTCACAACCACAAGCACCCCATGCGATTAGTATTCCCGTTCGAGATGGAAAACCTTCACCAGGCCACCAGCTGCAACTTCTGGGCTGGAAAACATGACCACGCACATGGAACGTCCGTGCTCATCCCACTTGGGGGGGGGGGCGGCGGGGGAAG